CTGTGGCATCTTTTCCTGCACTGTGGTTCCCTGCAGTGTGGTCCCCTGACACTGTGGAGTCCAGTGCACTGAGCAGAGGGAGGAAGAGAGGACCCAGCACAAATCTCTGCTTCTTTGAGGTATTCTGAAATGGAATCTTTAGTCCTATCTTCACAGCAGCCAGAAAAATACTTAGAAAAGACTGTCATCGTAAAGGCAAATCAAATGTCTTAGAGTGGCACCGCGGCCTTCGTGCCGCCTTTCCCCCCCACAGCAGGGCCAGTCACCACCTTTCTATTTTGGTCTCACTATGTTTCTGTAGGAACTGCCGTTTCTTCACTGCGGTTTCGGAGGCATTAAAATAACCTCATTAGCTTCACTCAAGCTCAGTGTTAGCACACACAGGACAAAGTAGGCGGCCACACAGAGAGCTTTAACATTATCAGCCCTGCTCTACTTACGTTCTGAGCAAAATATTCAAAAGTAAGAAAAAAATTCCTGGTTTCTCATATTATTAGGATAATGTGCAAATAATAGTGTGGATAAGTTTTCATTTCCTGGAAATGACTTAAAACAACTGACAATGCTGAACTTAGCTCAGGCTGGAGTCTCCACACCCAGGTGGCCACTCTCTTGAGTCATGTGGAAACTATGTCTGCGCAGCTGCTGGCAAAGAAGTGAGTTCTGCTTCCTCAGGAACAGTGGCAGTGTGCCTGTGAAGGAAGGTGATGCTGGCCAGCTGAAGGCAACACTGCCCTGCGATACACTCTCAAGTCCAACCCCAACACTCCTTGGCAGTATTCTACTCCAGGATTGCCCAGTTAGAGCTCATAAAAATAGAGTAATTCCACCGGGGTCAGAGGCTCATCTTTCTTCTCCACCCTAGGATGCACTGATACTGAGGGAGACGGACTGCACCTCCGGGACAACAGACAGTGCCAGAGGATACGAGAGGTCACCCCTGACTCCAGAGAGCAAGGTAGGCTGGCACTGGCTCCTCTGCCGGCTAAACGCTCGGCTGTCTCGTTATCTCAGTCTCTGCAGATACCTGTGCTTCAGATTTCAGCAATTGCAGGCTAACATCTCAACTGTGTTTCTCTTGATTTCCACTATGTGCCTTACAAGGAAGAGTGCAAACCTTTAACCATGGGGAGTTTCTGGACAGCTGGTCAACCTAGGACTGGAACGCTAGCTTTGGATGAGCTTTTTGATAAGTGCCAGATACGTACTCAGTCTTTATGTGACATTTACAGTAGCTTTTGAACCAAACAGCTGGAAAGCAACCATTGCCAGTATGTCAGCAAGTGAGAATGCCCGTGTGCTAATAAAATTTTATTTATAAAACCATACTGCAGGCTAGGGAGATGGTTCAGTAGATAAAGTGCCTATGTAAGAGTTCAACCCCTCAAACCAGAGCTCAGATCCTTAGAATCCATCTAAAAGGTGTGGCAGCTGGCTGTAACCCCAACACCAGAGAGACAGAGAATTGGAGATCCCTGGGGCAAGCTTGCTAGCTAGACCAGACGGAATCTGCAAGTTCCAACCTCAGCAAGAGACTTTGCTTAAATAAATAAAGTGAAGAGCTACTGAGAAAGACACACCCAACTTCAGACCTACATACACTGTGAAAACACACAGACACACACAGACACACACACACATACACAAACACACAGACTCACACACATGCACTTGCATGTGAGAACACAACCTCAATAAACTGGGTTTGGTGCATAGGCACCAACGTCTGCTAACTCCAGTCTACCCAGAGTAGAACTCAAACAGCCATGGGGTTAGAAGCCGTGGGCAGGGTGGGGGCTACTCTTTGGGCGGTGTGAGGGGATGGAGGATAATAAAGGTGCTTAGGGGTACAGGGAAACTGCCGCCTCTCCACGTCAGTGCTGCTTACGCTGATATTACAATCCAGCAACAGCGTGAGAGCTCTTCGGTGAATTACATCAGTTTTTGTATATATTTGGTACTTCAATAAGTTATTTAGTTTTGACTTTTGAGACGAGATCTTACCAGGTAGTCCAAGGTAGCCCCAAATTCACTATGTAGCTCAAACTTGCCTTAAACTCACAGCAAACCTCCTATCTTGGTCTCAAGGGCTCAGATGACAGACGTGCACCACCATGCTTGGCTCTAATCAAATATTATTTTAAGAAAGAAAGAAATCCGGGCATCCTAGCACTCGGAAGGCAGAGACAGGTGAATCTCTGTGAGTTCGAGACCAGCCTGGTCTACAACAGCTAGTTCCAGGACAGGTACTAAAGCTACAGAGAAACCCTGTCTCGAAAAACCAAAACAAACCAAACTAAAACAAAAACCCAAAAAGAACAACAACAACAAAAAACCCAACAACAAAACCTGGCATGATCGCACATATTTATAAATCCAGCAATGAGAGGGCAGAGGTAGGTGGGTTCCTGGGCCTTCCTGCCTGCCAGCCCAGCCTCCTTGATGAGGCCTAGGCTAGTGAGAAACCCTGTCTGATCCCTTCCCCGCAAAGGTAACCAGCATTTGAGGAACAGCACTCTAGGTGGACCTCTGTTCTGCACATCCATATTCACACATGTGCACTCATGAACATACCTGTGCACATATACACACACACCCGTGCACCCATGAACGTACCTGTGTACATATATACATACATGTGCATGTGTGAGTATATGAACATATCTATATACAGATATACACATGTGCACCCATGCACACACAAACATACCTATACACATATATACACACTTGCACCTGGGCACACAGGAACATACCTATATACATATACACATATGTGCATGCCTTCACAAATGAACATACCTATACCTACACCATGTGTATATGAACATACCTATACATATACACATATGTGTGCACCCCTGCATACATGAACATGCTTATACACATATATACACAAACAACAAAAGGAGGGAAGGAGGAGATGGTTCAAAGAGGAAATCATTTTAAGAAAAATAAGGTAGAAGATGAAATACAGAGAGTACAGCAGTCAGGTAGAATGATGAGGGACTCCCCCACACATCTCCAAGGACACTGACCACTTTCTTCTAAACATTCTTTTTTTCAGTGTGCTAATTTTGGGGAAGGGAATTTCAAAACAGGGTTTCTCTGTGTAACAACAGCTCTGACTGTCCTGGAATTTACTTTGTAGAACTAGGTTGGCCTTGAACTCAGAGATTCACCTGCCTCTGCCTCAATGCTGGGTTTAAAGGTGTGTATCAGCCAGCACTGCCCAGCTTCAATGTGCTATTTTTAAAAACTGTGGTTAAAAACACATGAAATGGAGCATCTTAGTCACTCTTAAGTGCATGGTCCATAGCGTTCACATCACTGTGGAACGGACCTCTGGCATGTTTCCCAAATGCCAACTCTAACTCTAATCCATTACATAGCTCCGCCTTTCCACGTACCCAGCCCTTGGCATCACCATCATGTAGTATGTTTTATTACCCATTTATCTACAGTAGTCATGGGCCCCAGTCACCACTGGGAAATGGCTGCTGAATCCATGTCTCCAGAATATCTGGACGTTGTTACTGTGTTATCCAGGTACTAGCATGGCCCTGTTCTTTCCTCTAAGGCTAAACTTGTCTTTTCATTAATTTATGAGCAGGCTATTCTTTAACAGCACTGCTTGTTTTAGACACTTGTGTTTTGATTGTTTTATCTTTTGCCTGTCATGGAGATTGCTGCCGTGAACATGCAATGCGTATGTCTCTTTGAGAGTGTGCTTTGGATCTTTTGGGACATATTCTAAAAGTGACCTGAAGAACTATAGGGGGTACTATTTTAAATCTCTTAAAAAGTTTTACTTTTTTTTGTAAGAGTTTTTGTCTGAGTATATGTAAGTGCTCCACATGCATGCCTGGTACCCATGGAGGTCAGAGGAGCATGTTAGTCTCCTGGTATTGGAGTTACAGTACAGGCAGTTGTTAGTAGCCACATGGGTGCTGGGAATTAAACCAGAGTCCTCTGTGAGAGCAGCCAGTACGGCAATCACTCTTAATCTCTCCAGTTCCTTCATTTTTTAATATTTTTTAACATTTAAGGAGTCTCACACTGGTTTCCACGGTGGCTGTACCATTCACATCAAATGCGCACAGGGCTTCTGTTTCTCTTCATCCTTTTCAACGCTTGTCATCTTTTAGTAGTTTAACAGTAGCCCAAGCCAAACTTCGAGAGCTATTACGAAGCTGCTAAGGCCTTCCCTGAACTAAACTCTGAATACAGACTCTCCCAATACAACCGCTTTTGATCTCTGCTGAAACCTTTTCCTGGGCTGGGGAGGTGGCTCAGAGGCAGAAAGAGCTTGCTGTACAGGCAGGGGGAGGCAGGGGGACTCCAGGTGTGGCGGCTGCTTCTGTGACCTCAGAGCTGAGTCGGGGTGGGGTGGAAGCAGAGCTCACCGTGCATCCTGTCTACCTGAAATAGTGAGCTTCTGGATCAGTGACAGACCTTGTATAAAAAAACAAAACAAAACAAAAAACAAACAACAAAACAACAACAACAAAAAACAAACCAAGGTGGAGAGCGAAAGAGGAAGATGGTAGAAATTGACCTCTGACCCCACACATGCACACAAGTGAGTACCCCGACACACACACACACATACACACACACAATGTGCGCGCACAGTCCCTTATCCTAAAAGGTCAGCAATATTTTGATAGGAATTTTTCTTTTGACTTTAAGTTTACTAGTCTGTGAGAAGTTCCCGGCAGAAGTGTGCACTAACACTGAAAGTGGCCCAGCTAGAAGCAAAGTTTAAAGCTACATTTTCACATCTTGCTTAAAACGCCACCATATGTACATCTCCCAGGAAAAGCAATGTGACTATCAAAAGACCAATTATAGGGTGAACACGTAATTTATTTCATTAATTTTGGTCCCACTACAAGGGAAGAACTGGGAATCCCAGCAAATGGAACAAATGGGTTGACCGGCTGGGGTGTAAGCTAAGAACTCTCGACTGCAGGGGCATGGTGGGGGCCCAGCTTTACCTTGCTCCTCTGGAGCAACTCGTGTGGCTGAGTTTTCCTCTACTTGTTTTCTAACTGCGTCTTCTTCTTCTTCAGACCACTGCATGTGATCCCTACGGGGAGAGGAGAGTAAAACATGATTGCCAAGTAGGGAAGGCAGCATCCACGTGGCTGGGCACTGCATCTCACATCCTAGACCCAGGCATACAAAGTGACCATGTCACACAGACTGGTTTCGTGTTGATGTTGCTCCTAATGCAAAGAGCCACCCTGCAACTCCTACAGGTTTTCTGTTTAAATTTGGCTGTGGGAAAAGCCAGCCACCTTTGGGAAATGGCTGCCTTAGTCATATCCTCAGAACATTCCAGTGTATTACTGTCTGTGAGATGGGGTATTCTGACACTCTACTGCCAGACATGTGTGTGAGCACATGAGTGTGCACCTGTGTATGTATGTGTTTTTTTAAATGTGGACATGTCAATATCAGCTGTCTCCCTCCATCACTGTTTTATTTTTTAAGATTTATTTATTTATGTATATGAGTGCTCTATCTGCATGTACACCTTTATGCCAGAAAAGGGCATCAGATTCCACTATAGATAGGTGTGAGCCACCATGTGGTTGCTGGGAACTGAACTCAGGACCTCTGGAAGAACAGCCAGTGCTCTTAACCACTGAGCCATCTCTCCAGCCCCTTCTGTCCATCACACTATACCTTATTTTTGGATATAGGGTCTCTCACGAAACCTGGCGCTCACCCATGGCTAGAATGTCTAGTCTGCCTGGCTCGCCAGACCCCAGCTCTGAGGCTACAGATACATGATGTCACCACACCCTTTAAGTGCGGGCTCCAGGGACTCAACTCGGGTCCTTAAGCTGCAAGACGAGCTCTTTACCCACCGAGCCATTTCCTCAGCTGCAAGATGCAAGCTTTAAAACATTTAGTTCTCTAAATTTTTAAAGTAATTTAAGTTTCATTTTTCTTAAAAAGCTATTTCAATTTCAGGAATCTGTTAATTTATATTTAAATGGAATGATATGTTTTGTTGTTTTGAGACAGATTTTGTTGTGTAAGCCAGGCTGACCTCACACTCCTGATGATTCTTCTTTTTTTTCTTTTTCTTTTCTTCTTCTTCTTCTTTTTTTTTTTTGTTTTTTGTTTTTTTTGAGACAAGGTTTCTCTGTAGCTTTGAAGCCAGCTCTTGTAGACCAGGCTGCCCTTGAACTCACACAAATCCGCCTGCCTCTGCCTCCTGAGTGCTGGGATTAAAGCCACCACCACCCAGTTATGATGATTCTTCTTAAGCCTACCAACTGCTGGTATTATAAACGTGTGCCACTATGGAGCCAAATGACAGGGAGCTTGATATGGGATGTAAATGATTCATTTTTCTTAAATCTCTCACCTGATGTATTTTTAGTTTCCGAATTCACTCTTGTATGAGAACACAGGAGGAGGTGTGGAGGAGGAGGGAATGAGGAAGAGGAGGGTATCTTCTTAGAATGGAAGCAACCTCTCTATTTCCTCAAATCAGCCATTTTTCTAAGCAGTGAAATAACCAAGCCTCCTCTCTGCAGCCTCCCCATAGCCTGTTGATGCTGTCCTGGCCAGGGTTTCTACTGCTGGGATGAACACCATGAGCAGCTTGGGGAGGAAAGGGTCTACTTCATCTTACACTTCCAGGCGACAGTCCATCACTGAAGGAAGTCAGGACAGAAACTCAAACAGGGCAGGAACCTGGAGGCAGGAGCTGATGCTGAGGCCATGGAGGGGCTGCTCACTGGTTTGTTCCTAGTGGCTTGCTGAGTCTGCTTTCTAAAGGAACCAGAACTCTCTGCCTGGGGAGGAGTGGGAAGATGGGGCCCTCCATCAATCACTAATTAAGAAAATGCCTTGCAGGCTTGCCTCCAGCCTGGATCTTATGGAGACATTTTTAAAACACAATTTCTTTATTGATTCTTTTTGTTTGTTTGCTTGTTTGTTTTTTTGAGACAGGGTTTCTCTGTAGCTTATGGAGCCTGTCCTGAAACTCACTCTGTAGACCAACCAGGCTGTCCTCAAATTCACAAAGATCCTCCTGTCTCTGCCTCCTAGTGCTGGGATTAAAGGTGTGCACCACCACCCAGCTCTTTATTGATTCTTTGGGAATTTCATATTATGCACCCTAATTCTGTTCATCTCCTGGGCCCTCCAAATCCTCCCATAACCCCTGCAGTGCCCCCAAAAGAAATTTTAAAAACCAAACCAAAGCAAAACAAAACAAAACAAAGGAAACAAACAAAAATAAGAACAACAACAAAACCCTCTCTTTGTTTCTCTTTCTTTCCTGCCTCTCCAACACCTCTTCATTCATCCTGGTAGCACTGGGAGCAGTATGTCACACAGTATATCCTTTTGTCTAGTCTACCCCATCTATGGAGGCATTTTCTTAATTGGCTGTCAGATGACCTTAACTTGTGTCAAGCTGACATAAAAACTAGCCAGCACAGATAGCTACAAGAAACAATGGGGCAGGGTGGAGGCTGAGGCACTGAGCTCACTGGCCAGCCAATGCAACCAAGTCAGGAAACTTCTCTCTCACAAAAACAAGGCAGACAGCAACTAACAAATACATCCAGTTTTGAGCTCTGTCTCCACATACATACACATAAACACAGGCACCTATAAACACACACATACCCAGAGAGGCTCTGACCCTGTGATCATAAGATATCATCTGAACAATGAAAAGGGATAAATAAAATTCTTGATGGTTCAAGATGACTGACAAACATCAGCCAAGCAGTTGGATTAAATGATCATAATCACTATAGGAATCATCTCCACTTACTATTTATTGCATGTCAGGCATCACACACAACACATTTTATATATTTGTCTTATTTGATCTTTTCAAACCTTCTGTAGAAGGGTTATAATCCTGCACATTCTATAAGAGGAAACAGAAATATAGTCAGGCAGAAACCGAATGCAAACCCAGATTTGGGTCATGTATAGTTAGAATTTTCTTTGGGCTGCCAATCAGCTCCCAAGTAGTCACAGAGACTTATTATTAATTATGAAAGCTTGGCCTTAGCTTAGGATTCTCCCACTAGCTCTTTTAACTTAATTTAACCTGTTTCTATTCATCTTTGTTTTGCCTCAGGGCTTATTACCTTTCTTTACTCTGTATGTTCTACTTCCCTGCTTCCCCTGTGTCTGGCTGGCCCCCAGCATCTCCTCTCTGGTGTCTCTTTTTCTTTCTTCTCCTGAGCCTAAATTCCTCCTTCTTACTCTCTCTGCCCAGAAGTTCCACCTATTGGTCAGCTTTTTATTAGACCAATCAGGTGCCTTAGGCAGGCAAGGTAAAACAGCAACACATCTTCACATATTAAACAATTGCAGCACATCTTTGCACAGGTGAACAACTCTTTCACAACAGTCATGCCAGAGTCCATCTTCACCCTTAGTTCACAGTTTCTACTGAGGTACCTGGGAGTGCTGGGGGTTTTAAGACTTAACTTTCTCCATCAAAGGCACGTGTCTCTGTCATTTCTAGAGTCTTGGAAGTTGCTTGCAAAGCACTTCCTGTTTACTTAGGTAATATTAATTCCTTTTGCGATCTTGGATGGAGTTGAAGACTAGATATTTATAGTTGCAGTTTTCTTTAACTATGAAAGAAAGTTAGGTGTATAACTTTGGATTCACTAAGATAGGATAGATAATGCATTCTTTTCTCTGAATATGCTAACTACAAGTAGACAGAATATTTTAAATGTAATTCTTACTTGATAACAGTTTTTGTTGTATATAGTTTTACTATGTTAAAGTCAAAACCTTCCTTTTTATTTAGACAAAAGGGGAAAATGTTGTAGAATATTATTTTAAGGTGTGTCAGATTTGTTTATGCTCTGGAACATTTGTTGAACGATATAAAGCTGTGTTGCTTTTATTTATGCTACATCTCTTTAACTCTGTGAAGCTGTGATTCTTTGCCTGTCTAAAACACCTGATGGGCTAATCAAGAGCTGAAGAACCAATAGCAAGGCAAGAGAAAGGATAGATGGGGTTGGCATGCAGAGAGTATAAATAGAAGAAAAATGGGGAGGAGAACAGAAGTAGCAAGAAAAGGAGGGGAGGAGGACACTAGGGACCAGTTACCCAGCCAGCCACAGAGTAAGAGTGAAAGTCAGATATACAAAAGTAAGAAAAAGGAAAAGCCCAGAAGCAAAAGGTAGCCAGGATAAGATAAGAAAAGCTGGCTAGAAACAAGCCAAGCTAGGGCCAGGCATTTATAACAAAGAATAAACTTCTGTGTGTGATTTATTTGGAAGCTGGGTGGTGAGTCCCCCAAAAGAATCAAAGAGTAAAAAGCAACCAACAACAGGCGTGGGTTTTCTTACTGCACACAGAGAGAAGGGAAAGATGAGGCAGTGGCATGGAAGTTAGCACTGACGGTAGACCCGGTAGCTCTGTTAGTGCTGTCTGGGAAAACAGGAAGAGCAGGCAGGTGGGTTTGGGCTTGGGCTGGAGTAAAGGCGGGGGTGGGGGGGGCAACGACACTCCCGGCAAGGCTGGCAGTACAGACAGGGTACATATAGGGAGCATTAAAAGCGTGTCCACTGTGACTGCTTCTGTTCGGCAGCTGCAGGTGAAGCTGGGAGCTGGGTAACAGGGATTTCTGAGACTGGGGAGTACCACACAAGACCGTGAGTGGGAGGAGCTGCAGGGAGATCACTTAGACTGCTGTGGTTTAGCAGTGATGACCCCTAGAGCCAAGGTGGTGGCAATGGGAAAGCAGAAGGAAGAGCACAAGAAGACACGGAAAAATATGTTGCCGTAGCCTAGCCATGAACTACAGACTGGGGAAGAGTGGGGCCTGACTGTAAAGACACAGCATGAATGTCTAGGAAAGCAGGGGGGAAATGACAGAATAAGGAGTCACCTTGGGAGCCATGGTGAGAAGCTTGGTTCTATTCTAATCAGTGTTTATGCAACCAGATATGTGAGCGCATTCGGATGGTCTAGTTACCCAGCTATAAACACCCCTACTGAAAGGTGAGAAACTAACTGTTCATTCTTTCCTCTCCCTGCTGCTTACCCACCTTTTAAAAAAAAGTGCCTTGCTCCAAT